TCTTAACCCAAGATATCTCCTAAGTCACTTATTTCTTCATTTAAACAGTGGATAGATAAAAAATCATACTTGAAAAGTATCTAATTGGACTATCCGTTCAGAAACTTCACCCCTTCCTTTTCAAAATCGAGGAAAACACCCCAAAAATTGTACAAACTTTTTGTCTTAAAATTTCAGCACGATGTAAATATTTACAAACAAGTTGAAACAGATGGAAATTATTTGAGAATATTTATCCTAAACCTTTTTCTCAAGAACGGTTGGAAAATGTTTCTTTATTTTGTTTTTTAGTGTAGTTTTAATGATTTGAGGTCTGAAAACCAAATTAAAGGTAGATTTTTTTGTTGTTTTTATTTGGTCAAAAAAATTCTAGGTATTTTATAAAAAAAAATAATGTTTAGATAATATTTTTTTTAGTTTTTTTAACTCTTTTAGAAAATTATCTTTCTAATGGCCAATTGAATCTGTCAAGATGTCAATTAATAGATTTTCTAAACTTAAGGGGATTTTATACGTTGATTGTTGGCTATTTTTGTGTAAAAAAATTGGGTTTTAATATTGAATGAATTGCAAATTAAATTTATTCTATTACAAGAAACTGACATTTTTATATGAAAATCCGATTTTCTTATAACATAGTTGAGCAGCCAAAGAACTCGAATCTCTTAACAGAACTAAATTGGACCATCTTTAAGTAGTTGACCGGATTTGTCTGGTTTTTTTGTCTAAAATAAACCAAAATTGCTATTCCTCATAAAAAAATAATTTAATTTAAAAATAATACTTCAAAGCTTATACAAATTAACCGGTTACTTAATTGACACGGTCGAAATTGATCAAAACCTCTTTTGTCTTAAATATTGCCTATACAAAACTCCTTAAAAACAGACCACATGCAATTCCCTTAACAATGATTTTTTAAAAAATGTTTCCACGGTCACAAAAATACTAGTTGTTTTATAAAAAAAACAATGTTTTGTAAATATTTCTTTTAGTTTTTTGATGAACTAATGAATGAATTTTTTAATTGGATCTGTCAAAATGTCGATTAATCGATTTTCTATACTTAATGTGTTTGAATAGAATACAATATGAATTTTCCTTAATAATTCAAAAATCTAAATTGACACTTTTTTATTGTTTATGCCAAATTGACTTTTACCGTCCATATAGATTCGCATCCGAGCGGTAATAAGATATTGATAAGTATTATCACTTTGTACACCAAGAAAGACTTATGTGACCTCTCCGTCCATGTATTATTATTAATGCATTCAGCTAAACGGTAATTTATACGGATATTTCAAATGACCCGGCTCAACGTGAACCGCATTAACCGGCCCAGCCTCGTGTCTAATGTGTGTGTATTGTGTAGACATTGCTCTGGTTTGCAATATTATAATAATAATAATAATTGTCTCTGCTTTGGGCGTTTGAATCACAAGCTAACGCGTTATTGTTACATATTATTTCTGCTGCTGCTGCCATGGTTGTTACTTGTTGATATAATTACCATTGTCAGCGTGTCGAGTTGGGTTCCTGTTCGGCCTGAATAGCGTCCATTAAGACAATGCCAGATACCGTCACAAAATAGCAACGTTTAGATCCGGCTGTGTGTCGTATACAGGTGCTCTGGCGTGACAGCCAAATCCAAATACCGTCTTTGCCTTTTGTGCTTTCATTAAAAAAAAAAAAAAACTTTGTGATGTCTCCCCGCAGGGGTCATAGAAGCACTGTTGACAAAGATTCAGACTCGAGGGGATTTCTCAATAGAGGAATGATTTATACAATTTTTATCGAAGAAAAAACAAGGAAATAATACCAAAGACATGTTGATAATCATTGTTATTTTGGTGACGAGCAACAACAGGCGTACTAACAGCTGTCATTTTTGAAAAGCGCCCCCAAATCCAAATGTATTCTATTGGTTTTTTTTTGGAATAATTGGCAACTATAAAATATCATAATACGGACAATTATTATGGAATTTATTTTGTTATTAATAATTGCGAATCTAGTATTCATTGGTAGAGTCATTTTTTTAATTATATTTTAATTACCAGTCAATGTTCAATTAGGTTGTGAATACAATATGATTATTATGTAATTGTTTTTTTCTGGACAAGTTAAGTGAGTTTTATATTTTTTATTGTTCCGAAATTAGGCTTAACCGGAATATTGCCAAAGTAGAAACATGCTAACAAAATAAAAAAAATTTTAATATTATTTTCAAGGAAAACGAGAGGGATCCAATTATATTATTTTTATCTACCGTGTCTGTTCAGCATGAACCATCAACGACACTCATTTGTTATAGTACAAGTCATTGTTAAGTTACCGAGTATTGACGTTAACCTGTTATTTTTCAGCGCGATATTTATCAACTTTTGAAACTTAAACGGCAGTTTTTTAAATGACCTTTTTTTTTTTAGTCGTTCGAGCTTGGTCAGGAGGCAAGAAAACCAAAAACATGTCAAACGTTTCAAAAAAAAAACCGTCACGCAAAACACAATACCTTTATGGCCGGCACTGGCGTTGTACCTAGCCAATATGGACAGAGACAAACGGTCGGTCCCCGGACACACGGAAACACCGTAGTAACGGCAAACCGACAGAGAGACAACATACCTCGTGTATAATATGTAAGACGTTTACATTATCGGATACCCGTTAACGTGTTGGCCGGAAGTGGGTCAAACCGACCGGACCGTCGCAGCCGCCGAGGTCAGTGCCGCCGCACAGTGTCTTACACACTTAATGTTACAATCTCATATCATTATTATAGGCACACACGTTTTTTTTTTTTTTACCAGCAGCCGCTTCTGGAGCTACTTTTTCAACCCAGGGCTTAGGAAGTCTCCCCCCCCCCACCCGTGCCCATGTGAAGTATCAAAGCGTTTTCGAAATGCACTTAATACTTTTGGCTCTAAACTTTAACTAAAATATCCTAAATTACAATAGGTACTCGTTTAACTGTACAATAATATAATCTACACTGTTCGTAATCATCCGTTTTCCAGTACTTACAGTTCTTAATTTTGTGGATCACTTCAACTTAGATCCGGTCAGGTTTCTTCAAAGTCACCTAATTGGGTTTTTGACAGTAAATAAGCGACAAGAAAAAACACATCAAATAAGAACAAGTTTTCTTGTTGATAAATTGGTCCATATTAAAAATATATATATATATATATATTACAAAATATATTAAATTCTCAGATAAATAATTGTTGATCGATTTCGGACAGAAAAAGATACACTTATAATATTATGCCTTTAATTTTCAAAATAAACGAGTATACCTAAGAAGTAAAATCCTACTTGGCTACTCGAGATGTTGACTTTCCTTCCCAATTCAAAGCGCTCGTTCTTGAATCAAGTCTCCTCGAGATAAAAACAACATTTAAACGAGTCTCAAAAAAAAAAAAATAATAATAATAATAATAAATCAATTTAAAAAAGATAATTACATTTACAAAAAAAAAATCCTAATTGGACAAGTTTGGTTGTTGCACGAAGACAAAAGTGGAAAAATAGTTTTTTTTTGCTTTAAAAATAATTACTTTTTAAGTATTATATTTTTTTCTTGTAGCTTAATCGCCATTTCTGTTGAAGAGAGTACTCACATTTTGTTTGTTTAATAATAAATTCAATAAAACGACATCGTTATAGTATATATAATATATTTTTATTATATAATATATAAATAAATATATATATAATATATATATAGTAGAAAACAATAACAATCTATGTGTTTTTTAAATTAAAAAAAAAACATAAACACTCTACAGTACAATAATAATTTAGAATAAGACTTCACGATAAGAATATTAATAATAATAATAAAATTACTATTACACGTTAACATTATTACAAAATATATATATATAAATAATAATAAATTAAATAAATATCTATATTCTATTTATATAAATAGAAAAATAATAATCATAATATAAATTATGTACACTGTGTATATATTATATACTTTTCACGATAATAATATAATAATTATATATATATATATTTTGTTTTCACATTTTACTTAAATTTTAATTGATTTTTTTTTTTAATTGATTTTAAACAACAACATATTAATAATTATGATAAAATATAATATCATGTTTCAAATAACAAAAAAAAACACAAACAGAACAAGGGCAATAAGAACGTTTATCACAGACTATTATTACTTTAATTTTTTTTTAACTACAGCCGTTTTTTGTTGGTTTTTTTTTTGTTTTGTTAGATCATAATAATATTGTACTAACGATAAATTAGAAAAAAAAACAAACAAAACAAAACGAACGTTACAACAGTATTGCTAAGTACGCGCAAAATAAATATAAAAATACATTTATTATTCGGTCTTTTATAATATATATATACGCACTCGTACTATTCGTTTTTTTTTATAAATATATAAATACATATTTATTTATAAATTCTTTTACATTTTGTTCGAAACGTCCGTATTAAAATTATTTACATCACAAGACAGTTTTTTTGTAATATATTTACTATTTTTTTTTTACAATTTTTTCTATCTTACAAGTAACGTCTATTATCCTGTCCGTTTCGATGTGCGTGTATGTGTGTTTTTTTTTCTTTCTTATGTTTCAAGGCGAAAAACACCGGCGGACAATCGTGTCCGTCCTACGGTTAAAAGTGGCGATATGCGACTTGCAATAGGTACACATTAAATATTTGTTATTATTATATTATATTTTGTAAAGAAAATAAAATATTTATAACTCTCGGTGGGCGAAACAATAGCGATGATTGTTTTGTTTTGTTTTTTTGCCATGCGCGTTAAAAAAAATATTTTGAAAAAAAACAATACAATAAAAATTTTTTTTTTTTTTTAAAAACTCTTAACATTAATAAACACTATTATGTAATAATAATATAAATTGGCGCCGTCCTAAACCGACGGGGTTAATATTAGTAATGATAATAATATTAATAATGAATAATAAATATAATATATATATATATATTATTTATGAATACATAATACATATAAATATATATTATTTATAAATACATAATATATATATAAATAAATATATATATGTACATTTTGTTTGCATCAGATTTACACTCAACGACAGCAACGGTCGCCTGCCGACTGTTGTTTCAGTTGACCGCGACGGTGGACTGTTGTTGTTGTTGTTGGGCGGTCGTGCCGTTGGTGGCCTTCCGGGACAGGATGTTCTTGAGGTTGGCCACTTCGGACGCCAGACGGGCCACTTCGGACTTGAGTCTGGTGTCGTCGGCTCCGGCGGCGGCGGCTGCGGCCACGCCGTCGGCGGGTTCGCCAGCCACTACTGCACCGGCGGCTGCGGTGGCCGCGGACGTCGGCGGCGACTGCATGGCCACCGCCCTGGGTGCGGCGGACGTCGGGCAACCGGCGGCCGGCCTGACGCCCCATTCGGCGCCCAGGCTGATGCCGGAGTCGCGTTCGTCGCTGCTGCCCTCCGCGTCCCACGGCGGACTCGCCCGGCTGCTGCCCGGCTCCTGTTTGATGGCCTGTAAAGACAGCAGGGCCGTGGCCGCCACGTCCTTGTCGCCGAGGTGCGACTTGTGCCGCAGCTTGTGCGGCAGACAATTGTTGTTGTTGTTGTTGATGTGATGGCCGGAACCGACGGCGGCGGCGGCCGCGGCCACGAACGCCAGCGATATGGGCACGCACGACGACGTGTCGTCGCCGCTGCCACTGCTCAACTCGTACGGCGACGGCGGCCGCCGGCTGAGGTTCAACACGCTGTTGGCGGCCGCTTCGAACGACGGCGGCTGTAGCGGCGGCAAGACGGGCGTGAACGAGTACGGCGCGTAACCGGCGGCTGCGGCGGCGGCCACGGCCGCGGCCGATGTGACCGCCGGAACGATGCCACCGTTGAGACTACCATTGCTGCTACCGTTGGAACGGTCCTGTTGGTCCATTGCGCAGTCGGACTGTCCGTAATAGCCGTTGCCGTTCATCTTCGGTGTGGTCGACTGTACCGGTCGGTGGATCACCGAAGTGGGAATCGGGTTTTGTGGGTACGATGATGACAACTTGGGTCGTTTAGTGATGCTCAACACCTGTTCATTGGTCGGCAACGAAGCCATTACCTGCAAAGAAAAAAACACAAAAGTTAATACAACAATAATGATGATAATTTAAGTAGAATTTCCAGAAGACGGTGGCCCCTAAGAAGGACCAAGTCTGCAAGTAAGAAGTCACAAACTGATGTGTCACTTTTTGGATTATATGCAATAGGATGTTTGGTAGAAAATAAGACACCGAATAGCCATGACAAAAAGAGCTTTCAAACAAAAAAAGACAACTACTCGCGAACAAAAATCATAGTATTAAGATCAGAAAAAACTTTGCTAAAAGCTACGTATGGAGTATTTTGGTGTATGGTTGTGAAACCTAGACCTTAACAGTACAAGATAAAAAAAAACAGTAGCGATAGAAAAGTGGACTTGGAGAAGATTACTTCGTATTAGTTGGACTAAAAGGAAGAGCAATGCAGTAATTCTCCAAATAGTAGAGGAGAAGAGAGTATTGCTGTCCATTATTAGATCAACAAGCAGAAAACTTATGGGACACTTAATAAGACATAACCAACATAATAGTAGGAAGAATCAATGAACGCAAAGGAAGAGGAAGACATTCATAGGAGAGATAATTGAAATGGCTGGATACGACGAGTAATCAGATTTGAAGACTCTGGCATAAAATAGAGAAGAGCGGAAGATGCAATAGGATATTAATAATAAACTAGGTGGTCGGTTCACAATGTTTGCGAGAATCTCATCGAGAGTGAATTGCTTGTATAAGATAAACAATTTATTTGGTTCATAAAAAAAATGACCTATTTAGTAGCTTCAATGTTAGTTCGGCTGTTTGTTGTTTTTATATGCCCAGTCGTTTATTTATCAGTAAAATAAAGAACTTTTAGCTGTACTAAAGGCTATCGATTTGCTATTCCACAGCTGATAGATAAGGCTCAATCGCCAGTGAATTCGGTACTAGACTCAATACGTCACGTCAACACGACCGTACGAAAACCAAGTGACCTATCAATTCGTGCTGTCTTACTGCTTAGGTATCGATAACAGCTAATTGTGTGTTGGTGTTTACCTGTTCTACGCTGACCACTGCCTCGCCGCTGATGCCGAACTTGTCTTTGATAGCCGTCAGCTGCGCCTTGAGCACGTGATTCTCTTTGCTCAGCTCTACCACTCTCTGCTCCAGGATCATGTCGTTGAACCGTCTCTTTTCCCGGGACCTCTTGGCAGCCTCGTTGTTCCGCCGTCTCCTGTCCCAGTAGCTCTCGTCCTTCTTGTTGTCCGGAATGAACTCGCGCTGTTTGCGCTGTGCAAAGAACTCTTTGCGCTGCAAGTGCGACGCCAGGTCGTATCCCGGAGGATAGGGTTCGCCTCCCGGGGACTCTGGCCCGGGTGACACCGAGTCGTACCGCACGCTTCCCGGTCCGCCGGACTGTTCCATGTCGCTGCAGTATTGCATGCTGTTTTGCTGCTGTTGCTGATGATGGCTCAGCTGATGGTGGAGTCCGGACTTTGCTGCTGCTGCTGCTGCTGCTGATGCTGCTGTTGCTGCTGCTGATGCTGCTGCTGTTGTTGCTGGTGTTGCTGTTGCTTTTGGTGATGATAACTGCTCGTGTCGGCTACCATTTCACAGTCTGCAAAAAAAAATTCAAAGCGCACCGTTAACAAAAATAAGATGAATCCAAATTGCCCGAGACAATGCACAAGTGTGTGGACGTTTTGCCCAAGTTATAGCTGTTGTGACAATTAAATTATTATAGGACGACCAGAATCATCGGTGTATCGTAGATTAGCCGGCAAAACGCCTTCAAGGACGGACCAATGGTGACAATAATAAGACTATCAGACGGCTTAGAAAAAAATCTACCGGGCCGAGGTCGAATGAATGACCTAACCTGCCCGGTCGATTGGGCTATTGTCCGACCAACTAGGTTCCCATCATTAATTCGACCTTACTGCTGCACACAGATTAGGAAATTGCTCTTCCTACATACAGCACTTAACCGGGCCTTTACAAAGCCAGTCGGTGGAATTGTATTGCATATTATTCTAAACACTACCAAACGGATCGCGCGTTACAGCAACAACTGTTACGGTAATGCGGTTTGACGGTTTCTCCTTATCTGGCCGCTATCGGATTCACTCTGCCCGCCGTCGTTATCTCGTTCATTAAATTCATCAGCCTAATTTACGTAACACTTGGCCGGTTTATCTGGCCAACAGTCTATCTGGTGTGTATTGATTGTTAATAAACACACTTACGCACGTAACCCGACCCGATAAGAAGGTGTATTTTTATAATAGTTATATCGATATTGCTTTTTTGGTCTAATACACGAATAATAGTTATTACCGTTTTGTAATCGACCTAGGAAAACGTGATCGCGTTCACGTGTCGACCCAATAACGATGCGTCCAATAACAATAACGTTTTATTTAATCGTTTATTTACAAGTTATTTTTGTAAAATACTTTCAAAAAAATGCCACCAGTTCTGCGAGACATTGTCAAAGATTCCATTGACGGCCGCCAAGCGACACAGACTGTACCAATTGATATTTTATATTAACCTGTTTATTGTTATAGAAAACGTCTATTTTTATCGCTATCTATTTTTAAGCAAACAAAACGTGTTTCTTCATTCTCCGACGGTTTGTGTGCATAGTTGTGGTTCAAGACGCCAACAGCTCCTGTCTCACGCTACTCCTGTACGTCCAGATTTTGGGTCTGGATCGTTGGGTTAGGTTCGGGATGAGCAACGGTACACGGCACATTGTACTAATTGAAAGGCTCTAAGTCAAAGGAGGCTGTTGTCAGCCGGGAAGAGGGTGGTTTGTTTTTATTTTTTAACCGGTATTCCTGGTGACGTCGCTGCGTCTCCTCTGCGGTTATATGGTATAATAAATAGTACAATAACACTGGCGGGTAACATTATTACTACAATATAATACCTAATATCGGTATAATGTAATGTAATGTATATTAAACGAGACGTAAAAAAAGCAAACGGCCTTGGGACGTGTTACGACTAGGTTTGGAATAATACAATGTACATACGTTTAATAATAATAAACGCGGTATGAGATAATCGTGGTGTGAGTTGGGCTGGTGTGTATATGTTTTTGCCAAGATAATTTGCTTAATACTATTATGGTTGTGTGTGTGTGTGTGTGTATGTGGGATCTTATGTATGAGTTGTGTAGCCTGGCGTTGGCCTTCACCCTCAAGGTGAAGTTTACACAAAGTGGTTTTTTTTCCTCGTTGTTTTTTATTATTATTATTTTTTTTTATTTTTTTTTTTTGCATAACACTCGTGTAATAACCGTCGTCATTGTGGTTATATAACACAACAGCGCCGACGACGGTCGGCGGTGCAGTAGGTACTGTGTGTAATTTTTTTTAAACGATGCTCGTGTTTATTTTCTATTACCATAGCCTTTGGCAACCGTTGTTTTTTGGCGCTGCCCTCGAGGCGGCCGTCCAATAACGTTTTGCTGCTGTTGCTTCGTTTTCACAAAACGAAATAAGTATCTACCTATTGTTTCTACCGAGAACGGAGGATAAAATATTGGAGTCAGATCGTTGGCGCGTATCAATTATCGAAACGATCGAACACATTGTACGGACGATTTGACGGTGGCAAAAAAAAAAAAATAATAATAATAACATTTCTATGTATATTTAAAAACAAATTTAAGGTCAACATTAACGGACGGCTTGCGCAACCGGTCTTGTTTACAACGATTTTGACCTCTCCCGGTCGTGGCGATTTTTGTTTATTTTTGGAATTTTTTCCATATTAGTAATCACCGTACCGGTCTAACCCGGAGACGGAAATGATTTAATCGAATTAGTGTTCAGTTAACATGATGTTAATCAAATGCGTTATTTGTATTACATCACATTGGACATGCAAAAACCAAACAAACGCGTTTGAGTTTTAAGATAATATTACCTACATTTTTTTTTTACTGAATAGTTTTTTTATTTTTTATCTTTTTTTTTTTTCTAAACCGAGAAGGTGTTTTTTTTTTTATGTTTCTGGTCGAATATTCTCATGGAGTCCTGTAGGTTTGCCGCCACTGTGATTCATTAACACGGCTATGAGCCAACCGTTATTGCCGTTTGTGTGTGTGTGTGTGTGTGTATGTGACTTTTTTTAGTGAATGAATGAATGAATAATATACACCTATTAGTATTGTTGTTATTATTATTGTTAAAAATTGCGGGAAACCCCCGTAGATTCTACGAATTTTCGCGTTTGTTTTTAACAGGATAATCATGTATATATATATATTATTATTATTTATTGTTTTGTTATCGGTATTATAACGTTGCCCGGCCACAGGTCGTGTCCCTGTAGTGTTTCCAAGAATTTTCGCGTTTGTCATCGACAGGGTACTACTATACCTAATCGTGTCTATTATTATTATTATTATTATTATAATTATAAGAAATTATTCTGTTATCGGTATATCGTTGTTCGCGTTTGTTGCAAACGTGGTCGATCGTTTGTTGCCAAGATACACAGGCTGTACAACCTAACGATATGATATAATTTTACCGCCCAAATCGAGCCCCCCACGCGTTTGTTCGAGTCGACGGTTCTCGACGGTTCTCGACACGGCGACCGGTTGTCTCAGCCTCGACTGGCTACGACCTAACCCATCGCCGACGGGGGCGTTGTACCCGGCAAACGCCGAGTGATTAATAATAATTGTACCTGTTAATATAATATAATATAATGTATTTTTTTCGGCGAAATTGAAACAATAATATTGTAAGAAAAACATCTTCGAGCGGTCACCGTCCGTGCAACAAGTGGGCGGATCATCGCCACGCGACCAAATTATCCAACGCAATTCACAAATGATATGCAAACGGTGTTATTGCTATCGAGATTATTATTATAATAATAATAATAATAATAATAATAGAATAGAACCGACAACATTTTAAAGGAAAAAAAACCACCATCGGCGAAGACGCGTCAAAAAGCGTCGGCGGTTGTCGCGTTATCTCGCCAGCAGCGTCGAAAACGTTTTAGCGTTAATATGTAATAATTATTATGTCATTACCATCGTTACAAAAAAAAAACAATTATTAATAGTACCATTATAGTATTATTGTAATAATAGGTTTTTTTTTTTTTTTTAGTTCATCGCGAAAATAAATATAACGATATCCCCTGGCGGCGTACCGTTCTCACTAGGTTTTTGCAAATTATTACTACGGTAATCTACTTATGTACAACATATTGTGGTCTACGGTTCCGAAGGGTCCACACCCAAACCACCGGTGGTCGTCGGAACGAACGTTGCGAAAAACATAACAAACGTCACAATAGTGCAACCTTGAACCTTAAAAGATTTATTGTAATTTATTACAGCGCGTTGCGTTTGAGGCCGATGAACCGGCCCGGCGTTACCGAAACAGGGAATTTCGCAACGTCTCCCAGCCACGGTTGTGCTGTTGTGCTGGTATTACTCAACCCCAAAATTAAGAAATTTCAATTGCATATTATTTTCGGATTGTCCCGTTTCAGATGAAATTCCAGACATTCCCGGACTCGCAGAGACACGCAGCAGATTGAAGCAGAAACGCTACGCTTTGGTGTTCTGGTGAGAATGATTTTAAAACGATAGTAGGTAATAATACTTAGCAATTTTGAAGACGGTTTCCCTATAAGTACAGATTGAGCGTAAAAAAGAAAAAACTTATTTTTACAAACCGGTGAGAACGATCTACCGACCGACGGTTTTCAGTCGTTTGATAGTAATTTGCAATTTTTAAGATAAAATTATGCCCAAGAATTAAAAAAAAAAAAAAAACCATTTTTTTTCTTCAAAAAAAATGTGTCAAAATTGTGTTTATAGCCATAATGGAAAAATAAATTATTAACAATATATTTTTAAAAATGTACGTGAGGGTGTTGTGAAAGGGCGAAAAAACACAACGGGCGTCAATACCAAAATGTGGACCGTCGACTTTGTTCGAGTATACATACTGACGCCCGTGTCTGGTTTTCCCCAAACGGAGATTTCAATGCGCGTCGCCGTTTCGGCCGGGTGGAAAATGTTTTCTTTTTTTTTTTTTTTTTTTTTATCAAATTTTTAAACATTAACACAGTACTCACTTTTTTCGTGTTTTCAGAGTAGACAATTTCCTTTTTCAACGAACGTATCCGCCGATCATTTGCACACAAAATTTGAAAAAAAAAAATAAAAATTACAATAACGGTGCCGTTTTTTTTCGTCGGTAATATTTTTTCAAAAAAAAAAAAAAAAAAAACCAAATATAATATTATCGAGAGACGCGGTTTTCGTGTCCACACGCCGCGGTAGCGCACAAATGTCGAACAATTTTTGGTATGTATTTTTTTTTTGTTTTAAAAACTTTTAAAAAGCGAATTTTTCCCGTCGAATTCTCGCGAAACACACGGGACAAATTCTATTATATTATTGTTTTTTACTATAGTTATTGCCGGCAACGACTGTCGGGACGCGACTGATGTGTGTGTTGCGCACGGGTTACGCGTACTCGCTTGACGTGTATACGACCGTCGACTGTTGCAGCAGCAGCAGCTGTTGCGCGTACACGGCGTGGCCCGTCCGGTGCGGTTAGTTATTATTAT